GGTTATTTAATCGTGATCATTGTAAAAGTTACACTTTTTTATTTATGATATAATGGACTGTTTAATTTTTTGTAAATCTCTCTCTGGGTGTACAGGATTCTCAATACTCTTGTTTCTCGTTGAAGTATTCTATTGTTTTACAGAAATAGGCAGAAATGGGAACTTCTGTAATAATTTTTTTAAGTGAATACTGCTTTATTCAACCGCCATGCGAATCTATACTCCGTAAAAATTTCCAATCGTTAATGGAAGACAATTGGAAAAGTTACAGATCAGACGACTGTTCTGGTAAATAAATATCTTCTAACCACGACAACATGTCGGTAGTGAGTTGAGACAAGAAACAAAGACACGTTGTATCGGTCTACCATTTCGTTAAGATGTCGTTTTTCAGTCGTTCTTCCTCATAACTTTGTTGGAACATTTTTTGTCGATGCACATTCCTATAAATGAAGTACATATCGTTAAACATGTACGAGCGTAACGTGTAAACTGAGATATGTAAACGCCTAATGATGGGGCAGAGGGTATGTTTCTATTGAGAAGTTGACAATTGGCACGTTTGTCAAGGATTCTTGTTGAACCCGTCCATCGGTTTCAATATCTATAACAAAGATCATGATATGGAGCAGATCTTACAGTTTTGGTATTATCCTCAAGTTCTCTGGGAAATGGGAATTATTATGTGGCAGGACATCACAAATATATCTGAGAGTGAAATTAAAACGTAAAATGGTTTATCGATAATCATGTATGTTGTCAGAGTAAGCATTTCCTGCTATGCATGCATAAAAGACCATTTGATTCAAAAGTCCAATCAAATAGCAGGTGATAAAGTTAAAAATATGACACACCGGTGGCAGGTGTTAAAGTTAAAATATGACACACCGGTGATAACGTCATAAAGAGCATGAGGAATAAATTACTACTGCTAAGCGTATCCAGAAAATTTTAAAAACTGAGATGGTGTAATAACGACCGTAAGACATGCGAAGTGAACTTGGTAATAAAGGCAGTTTAGAGTACACTGCCTTAGGGGGAACAAAGTTGTTAACATCTTAACAGAGATACATTGACGACATAAGCTCTGAGCAGGTTGGATATATAGATATAAGAAGATGTGGTATGAGTGTCAATGAGACAACTCCCCATCCAAGTCACAATTTGTAAAAGTAAACCATTATAGGTAAAAGTACGGCATTCAAAACGGAGCCTTGGCTCACACCGAACAGCAAGCTATAAAGGGCCCCAAAAAAAACACTGTAAAACCATTCAAACAGGAAAACCAACGGTTTAATCTTTATAAAAACGAGAAACGAGAAACACTTATGAACCACATCAACAAACGACAACCACAGAATTAGTATTGAGAATCGGAAGTCGCTAATAGGAAAACTGAATTATCACGTTCTAATAGATGCTAGTTTGTAATTGTCAGGATAAATTCAGGTCCAGAGATGCTATAGAGTAACCCTGAAAAAAACTGGTTATAAGTCGTATCCGATCATAAACGACGAAAGGATGGTTTTGTGGGTACGACACGTGCAACATATATGTAGTCATTTGTGAACTCGTAACAGTCATCCGAATCATAATGGCGTCCGTTAAACGTCATGTTTCTATTTTGCCATTAAGAAGCCTTTGTTCGATACTTGTCTTATAAGCATCAATCCCCTTTTGAGAAAAAGATGATGAGGAAGTCCTGGAATGCAACAACTGGGAAATAAATATCCATATGAATATCCATTTTATCCTGCATGACCTCATTTTAGAAAGAAATGTTGTGTAGACCACTTGGACAGATGATCGACGTTTAACAACACCACAATACCTTAACTTTACATGAAAGTTCATGCGTCTTAATTATTTGGATTGTTTGGTTTAAAATAGTAACTTAAATGGGAAATCCCCTGTAGGTAGTCGTAATTGTGTAGGATGAAAAAATCATGTCAGTGGGTCATATACATTAATGCATTTCCGCAGTTCAAAGGTATATGTCTATTATTATATGAAAAAATATGCTTGTCGTTTAAAGTAACAACATGTACTGTGTTAATTAACAAAAAGTTGCCGGCTTTACATAGAAAATCTACAGTATATCCATAAATGTATCTTCTGTTGTCCGTTTGACTTCTATATATTTGCAGAAAAAAATTCTTAAAAATCCATTTTTTTTCAAATCATTATAATTTTTCTTGATGTATGTTTATATATCATATATACGAACTCTGACTATTAATTTCATAATTTTTGGTCTATAATTAAAAAAGTTATCCATAAGGTCTCTATGTTAATTTAAATTTTTAAGGTAGTAGATACTTGATGGAGTAAGTATGAATAGTACTAGTCTAACAGCCTTCAAATCAAAACAAAAACAACATACATGTGCTTTACATAACGATTTTTATAAAGAATTCAGCTGACTGGCCCTATGGATCAGGTGAACAATTGCTATAACTTGACGTTCGTCCTCGTCGTTGCAGTTCAGACTAAATTTTTTTTGTTACTACAAATCAACTAACATGGCCAGCAAGGCTCAAAACATAAAACAATGGTAAAATCTAATTGATTGTCTAAAATCTTGATAACCATACATAATAGATCTAACTGAAACAAAAATGCTACGAATGTCAAGATCTACATTCTTTTTAGATTTCATCAAATTTATCAGACGAATCCTTATAGAAGTAAACGATTTTTTTATTCGTTTTTCTTTCCTATTATCACAAAAAAATAGTAAAAAGGCAGAAAAAGAAAGCTACAAAATTTATCAAGAAAACAAAATATAAAAAATGTAAATTAAAAATGAACCCATCAAATAATTGTCCATAGGAGTTGTTGCCCTTCAATGACGATATGAAAACAATTGTCCTGCGTAATATTCAAAAAATGTAATATATAGACACAAAATGTAAACAGCTAAAAACATTATCTGTGATACAAGATCTTCACAAATGTTAGCATGGCGAAACCCATAAGACATCTCTTTCTAGAAGTTATTGCTTTTAAATGTAATATTGAATAATCTTAGCATGTTCCTACCATCTTGAAAACTGTAATAAATAGAATGATGGAGACTGAAATCACAAAAAATGAGCATCTTTGTATGATATTGAAGAAGATATTGCTCTTAAATGACAAATTTCGATAAATATTACAATTTTTGCCCGTTATCTTGAAAACTATAAAAGATAAACAGACAGTGTAGACAAAGAAAAGGATAAGTGATATAAATTCTACAAAAATTTCATTACTACTGAAACGATCAATGGAATACTTATGCGCTATCGGCCTTAAGAGATGATATTTGAGTAATTGTAAAAGTTTCTGTCAATTATCTTAAAACATATAATAGATGATCTGGAAAAGAGGGGCGAAAGATACTAGAGGGACAGTCAAACTCATAGATCGAAAACAAACCGACAACGCCATGGCTAAAAAATAAAAAGACAAACAGACAGATAATAGTACACAAGACACAACATAGAAAACTAAAGACTAAGCAATACGAACCCCACCAAAAGCTGGGGGTGATCTCAGGTGCAGAAGGGTAAGCAGATCCTGCTCCACATGTGGCACCCGTCGTGTTGCTTGTGTTATTACAAATCCGGTAAATAGTCTAATTCAGTAGGTCACATTCGTGGTGAAAAAGGAAGTGGATTGTAATTACGACATAAGGAACATATCCGATATCATCTGTGAAACGGTTATTCCATAACGGTCAACCAACTCGTGATGGCGTCCATAAAATTTACGAAGGGATGATTTCAACTTCACCATTTGGAACTCTTGGTTAAATAGCTTCCTTGTGAGCAGCAACCCTCTATCAAGGAAATCATGATAGGAAATATGCCCGGGAATATCGTATCAATTGGGAGATATATACTCCGTATGCAGGCGCTGCTGGAATGTTGAAATGGAAAGTTCACAATGGAGCCGTGAACAAGAACACTTTAACAACAACAATCAGCTCTGAAAAGTACCAATATGACTGAAACTAGAAATTGTTCTTTTACCAATTCTAATATATATTATCTTGAAACCTATAAAAATAATCAGAACTACAGGATCTCAAAAATGCTACTTTGACGTTAACCATCAATTGACTCCTTATTTTAGGATTCTTTGCGTTTATCATGAAAACTATAATAGATCAAAAAAACTGTAAACAAAGGCAACAGTGGTATACCGGTGTTCAAAAGTCATAAATCGAATGAGAGAAAACAAATCCGGGTTACAAACTAAAACCGAGGGAAACACATCAACTATAAGAGGAAAACAAAGGAACAACGGGAACACTGAAGTGCAACAAATACAAACGCCAACATACATAGAAACGAACTATTTGATAACAACTGCCATATTCTTGACTTGGTACAGGACATTTTAAGAAAAAATGGTGGGTTGAACATTGTTTAATGGATAGCCAAACCTCCTGCTTTATGACAATATTAAAAAATATCGCTTAAATGACAACACTACGTAACAGAAATACAGCACAAACAAACGTAATCACAGAGAAATGCACAAACAAATAATATAATAGTCGACACAACATGCAAACCGCAGAACAACAGCGAACATATTCCGTCAACGACAGACATAACAGGATATCGAAAACAATGACGCGCTTACGTAACTAACATGCAATTTCGAACTTTAAACAATTTTTTTCACAATACTCGTCCAAACAATTTTCATGAAAATGATAGTATTGAAATGCAATTTTATAATTATTTGGACTACAAACGATAAGATATAACACATTATCCAACCGAAACCATAACAGAAACATCAAAAATAAATACATAAATGTTGGATGTAGAAAATACCGAGACACGTCGTATAGCAATGCAAATTCACACTCGGTATAACAGTCATATTCGGAATTATGACACTGATGGTATTGGAAGGCAATTTTATAATTATTTGGACAACAAACGATAAGACATAACACATTATCCATCAACAAACAATAACACCAAGGTACGATATACAAATTACTTACATTACTGAAATTGTTAGTAAACTGTTTATTGGACGAAAAAACTCATTGCAATAATATAACGTGAAAATAAATATCATGATTGCTTATTTTGTCAGGAGAGCGATTTAGACTCTTAAAGATCTCTTGGTATTAGATTTTTTTTGGTAATTTTAACTTCAAATGAGTTTTTAATGATGGAAGGTTTTTCAATAATAATAGAGTTCAAAATTCTTTAAGGTTGATTGTCTACATTATATATACATGTATAAATGATGATTTTCTGTAACGTGTTGTTAAAGATAAGGTAAACATGTAGAAATTCTTATTTTTTGTGGATTTTAACTAATGTCCGGTATTCCCTATACAAGATTGTAACAAAAGCACCTGAATTCTCGGAAATACAAGTTCCATATATTATCCCTTTGTTGCTTCTGCAGTGGATCTTGACACATATCCACGACAGCAACTTATTGTTTATTTATGAACGTTTCAAACTGTGTAAGCTTCTCTTAGAGGTTTTGAAAGTCCATGTACCTGATAACGCAAAAATTCAACCAATTCTTGCAAAGCTGCCTTAGCTTCCTCTAAATGAAATATTCCCGATTCATGTGAAAACAGGAAGAATCCATGAAAAGCATTTTTGTAGTGTTTAAGCTTTACTTTGGTTCCATCTTCGTGAATCCTATTAGTATACATTACTGCCTCGTCTCGTAAAACATCGTATTGAGACGTGATTACATAGGCTTTTGGGATATCTTGCAGATTCTTGTGCATCATGGGCGATAGAGTCTCGTTTGTGATGTAAGTTTGAAGTTGCATAGCGACAACAAAATCGTGTTCCCTTGGAATTGTTGTAGTCCTATTAGTGATTTTCAAATATGTAGGCAGATGTTTTGCACTGTCAACTAGACTAAAATGAGATTGTACAGTTGCTGGAAATAAATGTTTATTTTCAGTTATTTTGGATGCAAAAGCTATTGGCTGTCCAACATAGAGTAACCAATGTAGTGCCTCTCTTTCTGGTGACGTAATACCAGGAATAATGTCAACATTGTCTTGGTATGACGGTGTTTGAAAATCTAGCATTTGTAAAACTGGATTTATCAATATCTGAATCATGATTTTTTTAGGGAAATGTCTCGCTACTGCAGCTGCAATACCTCCGCCTGATCCATCGCCAGCAATTACAACTTTATTTGTATTTACATTAACACCACTCTTTGCCGCCAAAACTTGCCACATGACATCTATACAATCAGTATATCCTGCTGGAAACGGATATTCTGGTGCCTTCCTGTACCTTAAAAAACATATTGCATAATTAACTTACTAGTACATACGAATTCAGCGGATCTAGTAAATGTTATTTAATATGTCGAGCAAAAGACTTAAAATGAAACTATAATAAGGCAAAAATGATAAGTCGGAAGATACAAAGGATTAATGCAAAAACGCCAATACCCGAAAAGCAGCGGACAAAATCTTAAACAAAAGAAACTATTTCTTGTTTTAGACTTACATTTAATGTTATATTTCTAGGGATGGTGTTGGATAAAGTGCCTTTCTTTGGATATAGCGCATTTATATGTAATAATGCAACAGTGCCGATGGGGCAATCAAATATAGATGTTTAGCTTAAATAGTTGTCTCACTGACAGTAACAAAACATCGAACTATTTTCGGTTATCAGTTAAATAAGAAAGCGAAATGTCTAAATCTACTGATAGTTTAAAAATTAAAATTATTTGTTCTACCATTCATTCAGAACAATGGAGTAATTGTCAAAACCGTATCAAATATGCAAGTTGTTCTTAGTCAGAATCCTGTTGTTCAGTGGTTGTCGTTTGTTGGTGTGGTTCTTAAGTGTTTCTCGTTTCTCGTTTTTTATATAGATTAGACCGTTGGTTTTCCTGTTTGAATTGTTTTACACTAGACATTTTGGGCCCTTTTATAGCTTGCTGATCGGTGTGAGCCACGGCTCCGTGTTGAAAGCCGTACTTTGACCTATAATTGTTTACTTTTTACACATTGTGACTTGGATAGAGAGTTGTCTCATTGGCACTCATACCACATCTTCTTATTTCTATATAAGTTATCTGATAAAGTTTCATAATATTATCGCTGATGTAAGTATCAAAAGTGTATCATATACCGTATAGCGGGTTATTTTCGCGGGTGTAAAATTTCGCGATTTTGGGGCAACAAAGTATACGAAAAATTTTTGCGGTTTTTATTTTGGTGGATTCTTTAATTCCAATTAAATATTTTGGCGGATACTGAAATGGTTGCAAGTTTTCAAAATTGACAAACACGGGTCTATTGTTATGGTTAAATGATTGTTTTACCTGCATGTAGTCTTATTTATTGATTATATTTTGATACAGTTAATCAATAGAATACCGGTACATAGTTATTTGTCACAGGTGTAGAAACATCTTGTAAATTTTACAGTTGATTAGTTACGAAATTGACCGGACATTTGAAGTACTAATTAGATTATAAAATTATCATGAGTGACTTGCAACTCTTATATAATGTGACACTTATTTATAAGGATAAAATACCTGACAAGCGTACCTTACACTCTTATATCATTATTTATTTTATAATGTAACCAAAAAACTAATTAAAACCTGATAGCCAGTGAACAATGGCATTTGGCATTTATATTGTTTAAATTAACATAAACCGTTATTGATCCGTCGAACTCGAAAAAATAGATAGTTTACAAAACGCTTTAGCTATTAGAAAGAATCGAACGTATGCATAAATTTTCGCGGAATTTATTTTCGCGATTTCTCCTGACCCGCCAAAATAAGCGAAAATAAACACCCCGCGAAAATAACCCGCTATACGGTATATAATATGAATAAAAGTAGATTTAGGGTATATACCATCACGTTAAACTTATAGATACCAAGAATCAATAAGCGTTTTTGAGTACAACTCAAGTAGAGAAATCGCTGAATTGAAATATAGGATTACTATTCAGCCAACAAAAATAAACAAAACCTTAGTTCAATATCGAGTTTTCTGTGTAGTGTTTTGAGTCTTTTAAAAGCTGTGGTATTGAGTGTTGTTTTCTTCGGTTTATATTCTTGATAGCCCCTTAGTATCATTCACCCTTTTCAGGTATAAAATGATTTTTTGTAGATCTATGATGAATAACCATCCTACCATATATGCATATGAGAGCTATCTGTTAAGCAAACTCGGAGAAATGGATTTAATTATTATAATGATCATGTTAACATGTAAAAGATGTTCAATTGCCATTTTACCTGCGTACACTGACGTATCAACATGACGAAATAATATTAACAGCTACATATCAAGAACCAAAACAAAATGCGTCAATATATTCATCATTAAAAGGACAGCAAAATTTAACGAACAGATGTAATCTATTAGTATGCCCTTACTTTGCGTTCAAACAGGCATAGATCATTATTGTCCCTTAAGTTACATTCAAACGGGTTTGTCTTACTGAGTTCAAAAAATCAAATCAAAATGACTGATTAAATACAAAATAATACAAACCGTTGTATGATAACAGAGAGTTTATACTGTCAATAATTTAGTGTGTGTGCGTATGCATTTAAAAAAAAACAAATAGGGTCAATGAAGCTTGTGTAGTAGAAAAATGTTCAAATTCCGATACTACAAAGTATATAAAAAAAGTACACAACAAACAAAACGAATAACTGTTCCAATTCCAAAAAAAATCTAAGTACATAAAGAGAGTAAAAATAAACAAAAAGAATGGAATGTTCCAATTTCTAAAATACAAAGCCCATAAAGAGAGCACCAACAAACAAAAAGTAAAATAACAAAAATACGGAACTCCAAGGAAAACTCAATTCGGAAAGTCCCTTATCAAATGGCAAAATCAAAAGCTCATACACATCAAACGAATGGAAAACAACTGTCATATTCCTGACTTGGTACAGGCGTTTCTTTATGTAAAAAATGGTGAATTAAACCTGGTTTTATAGCTAGTTAAACCTCTCACTTGCATGACAGTCGCATAAAATTCCATTATATTGACAACAATGTGTGAACAAAACAAACAGACATAATATTAGGTAAAAATGTCAAAAATAGGGGTACAGCAGTCAACATTGTGTTATAATCTTAATCACTATAAAAACAAACAAATATGTCAACAAAGAAAATCAAAATGGCATATAGACAAAGAACATAAGCAAAATTGAAAGACAAGAATACAAAAATTGACCATAGCACAGTAACACAATGACGTGATGTATAACTACCGAGCCACGCCAAAGGGATATTACCAAAAATGGACTAAGCAGTAAAGGTAATAATTTACAAAGACAAATAAAAGAACACTATAACACGTAATTAAGATGATAAACAACGTCAGTACCTAGAATCTATACTTCAAGACCATCATGTATTATTTGTGAAGTTGATATAGAATATTTATCAACAAGGTCTTGGTATCTTCCGATGAACTTTTTTAAAAAAACGACGAGATGTTCTTTGACTGGTTCGTCAACTTTCTGCTCAAATACTGGTGACGGTTTATAAAGTCTGAGTAGCAGCTGCTAGCTCTTAAATATTGAATGAGTCGGGAAATGTATATTCCATATGCAGGTGAAGTTGGTATATTGCTACTTAGGTGGGTGAAATTCATAATTTCAAAATTAAAATCGTCTCGTTTGTCATAGATTCTGGTACTGAGATGACCACTTATGTCAAATTCGAGGTATAAGTCTAAAAATGAGGCGGAGGAAGCCGTGTCTGTTGTTTCTTTAATTTCTAGTTCTGTAGGATATATTTATGGAACCCAATCAGAAAAGTTTGGATTGTTATATAATGGAAAGAACATCGTCAATATATCTGAATGTGAAATTAAATGATCTGGCTACTTTGATCTTCTTGTTTTTGACAAGTATCTGTAGGAACTCCGACTCATATGAAAATAAGAAGAAGTCGACAAGGAGAGGCGCACAGTTCGTTCCCATTGGAATGCCGACAATTTGTTGAAAAAGTCTACCTCCAAATTCAACAAATATGTTGTCAATAAAAAAACTCCAGCATACTGATCACTTGTTCCTCTGTGTAGCATTCTGTACGTTTTTGTTCACTAATAACAAAATATGCCGTTTGGTATCCAAAAGTAATAAATTTTTATATTGAAAAGCATTGTGGATTATATCTTTTAGACGAAAGAAGAAAGAAGAAAGTATTATAGTAAACCAATGAATCAATTTACAAGCAAAAAGTGGGAATTGGAAAGTCTTATCTACTAATTATTTTATCAGTAAAAAAAATACCAGATCTTACGAATCTTCAGAATAACTTAATATAAGTAGGGGTTATTATCCTGGGCATTGTCCTTAAAATTATTAGTATTCCACCAAAGATATATACTAGTAATTGTAGCTAGTACACACTTGTAATTAAAATCTTTATTAATGTAATTAGTGTTTAGCGATGATTATTAGTCTTCTAATCATTACTTACTCAATTGCTATTACAATCATCCTCGTTCTGTCAGACAAGTTTTCTAAGTAAGAGCTGTATGTATCTAAAATTGAACGCATGCGTGATATCATCGTGGTTTCATACAATAATGCATACAAATAACAAAGACAAGGGCTAACACATGTACCTGTAGCATAGAAATGTTTAGCATTAAAAGTCTTCATTTCTTCAACTCGTTTTTGATTTCCTTTGAATTACAAAATATTGATTTCCTTGACGAACAAACTCGTGATAATTCAGAAAAATTTGGTAAATTCCCCAAGTCAACGTGACTGCCGTGTGGTAGCTGGTGTCGTTAAAGTAAAAATTCCCCTATAATTATATTTTTGAACCGACATACAGTGTTAGAGGTCGAATGATTTGCTTTGATGTAGAGATGTGAATACGTACCAGAGAATAAGTTTTGTGTATAGGTATAATCAAGGTATTGTTATTAAAGATAGTGAAACTATATTCTTTTATAGTGTATGTTTGAATAAAGGTTAATATCCGTGCAATAGTTGTTATTTATTCCTGATCTAACCGCATGAATTTGCTGTGCACAAAATATTTGATCATAATTTGGTACAGTGTAATTGTCGGGTAATTCTAGTAGGACTCAGCAAATTCCTTGCTCAACATTTCAGATTGTTTTTATCAAAACTGACCGTTTCAGACTCTTATTCTTCTACTGGCATATATTATCAAAAAGAACATTCCGTTTAAATGAATATTTTCCAAATAAGTTATTCAATATAATTATAATGAGTTATGAAAGCTGTGTATCAAAAGATAAAGCAGGGAAAGCGCATATAATAATTCCAAGAGGTTAGGCTAACTTCCACAGAATTTTTTTTCACAGTCGGCCCATTTTTTAAAAAACGCCTTTCTACCTTTTCTACAATTAACAGAACCATATATTCAGGTGTGTACTTTAAGGTTCAAACAAATTTATGTAGTAATTTTAAACATGTTACCAAATTATAGATGCTTAAAGATGGCTCAGAAATGCAGTTTTCAATAGATTTAACAAACTTACTTTGAATATTTATTAAACAATGCAATGCAAAGGAAATGTTTGTCAAAATTGTTGGAAGTAAAATGCTGTGTATAACTTTCCGAAAAAGAAAATAAAATATTTATGTTGGTTAAAGATGCCCCTCGATAGATTTATTTCACGAAATTTGCAATGGTGTGGCCAACATATCTTTAATAGCAATGTACAATGTATAGTAGAGAACAGCATTTCAAACTGTTGAAAACAGTTTATAAAGTGTTTAGACTTTTTAATATTTACAATTGCATCAAGCTTTTAACTTTGATTTATGAGTGAAACAAATATAGGGAAATACCTCTTTTTAAATCAGATCTAAACGTTAGACAAAAGAAAAGCGTTACTGATTCGTATTTCTCTTATTGTTGTTGTATACAGCTAACTTAAAATACTCATTATTGAATGACATGTTAGTTCACATATGAAATAATAGTATAAACAATTGACAAAAGTGAATATAAAAGTAAGGAGATGTGGTATAATTGCCTTGAAACAACTATCCATCAGAGTCTAAATAACGTGGATGCATTTAAATAAACTCATAATAGATACCAGGTTTGAAATTTTGAACGCCAGGCGCGTTTTGTCTACAAAAGACTCATCAGTTACTCTTGAATCAAAAAAGGTTAAAAATACCAAAGAAAGTACGAAGTTGAAGTGCATTGAGGATCCAACTATAGGCCAACTTAAGGCATTCAACAATGAACAAAACCCATATCGTATAGTAAGCTATAAAACATCATTTGATAGTTAAGATTTAATTAACAAAAAAGATCGAAAAACAGCTATCAGAAAACTTATTTTCCATATACATCGTTTACGCAAAATCATGATTTAAATCACGTCTGCTTAAAAATCATTCGCAGTGGCGCCAACTTTCGGTGTAATTGGACAATGAAGTGTCGATGCGTATCTGCGTGATGTCTAAACCAAACTCTTCTATGACAGTGAACTTTGAGAAAGTGTCATTACTATATATGCAAGGTCGTCAGTATAAAGGGTGAGAGGAGGCGTTCATGTAACTGATATATACCTGTAGAAAACCATGTCCATCCTCCTCCGTGAATATAAATCATAGCCGGTAATGATCTTGTCTCTTTTATGGGCTGTATTATTTTAACTGGGACATTGGCTATTCTGGTATTTGTCACCTATGGAGAAAACGCAATACTGTTGGTTGTTTAACAGTTCATATCAGTTTGTATATGTTTAGCATGAATGTAGAAAGTGTGTTATATAAGGTTACACGCGTCTACATGGAAGATTGGTAAATGATTTTTTTTTTCAATAAAAATTGGTATAGATTGAAACCTACTTTGTATTCTGTATTGAACTATTTTATGAAACAATTTAAGATGAAATTTATATTTTGAACGGAAAATAATTTGCACAAGGTTATTATCTAATGTCCTCGAAAAATTACTTTCAACGGTGTCAATATTAAAAGTTGGTGAACAACTCGACTTACTACGGAAGCACATTAGGGACATGACAACAATATATTGCCATCAAAGTACTAGTTTAAAAAGTTGACATTACGGCATTAAAAAGGTTAGAATGAAAATTAAACTCGATATCTTAACTTTTTTCATTTCTTCAATTTATCTTCAAAGTCAACATTCTGACTTGACTTTAACTTTTTTTTAAAAGTTGAAATTAAAGGATTAAAACAAATAATATTTTGACTCTAAAAAAATGGAATTTTAAAAGCGTAGATATCAAAACTGTAAAAGTAAAAATTTTGATTTAGATTTAATGCAAAATTAAAATTGTTAGGTGTTAAAAGTTTTAAGAACAAATTTTTACATTTTAAAATTTAGAAATTTCAGCCTTTAAATGTGTCATGGAAGATTTTGATCAACAGTGTCCCTAAAAGGTTTCCACAATATCCTGAAATCCGAATTTGAATGAATCCAAGTTTATAACTGTCTTTGTCAACAAACTGCATTCGTTTTAGTTCTCAAGGTTTCAGCACAAAAAAACTATATATTTAAAGACCTATAGATATTATATTTACAATCCAAAATTTCATTTGTAATTTATCTTTAGCCTTAGAAAAGAAGCAAACAAAAACAAGGCAAGCAATAAAACCTCTCAGAATATTCATTTTTTACGGCCTGTAAAAAAAATTTTGAGGGCAAAAAACTTCTATAATTATGTAAAAAGCATTTATGTTTTCATAAACAAACATATTTATAATGTCCTTCTATATGGTCTTTTGGAGGTCACGATTACCTGAACTTCCGGATTCTGGCTGTAAACACCATTCATAACAAACCCAAAGCCATTGTTGACGATGAATTTGATTGGTTGGGAGGCTGGGTTTATATTCAGCATAAGGCATAACCTCAACTGCAATGTAATGAAACAACGAGATTAGTGTATACTTGCTTGTTTTGAATACAGGAAGACGCCTTCCGTTCTGATTGGCAGAGGGGTTTGGCCAATATTTCAATTTGATGCATGTAATAGTCTAAAATATCAGGAAGCAATATGAAGTATTCATTTATATCTGTTAAACAAACATACACAACAGATGTTTTGCAATTGTAAACTTCTTAACATACGTCAAACCGCTTAAAATACATCGTTCTTTGAGTGTTACTGAAATAACATTATATAATTCAAACATAAGTAATAGTATATCAGTCTCTAAATTATCCTGAAGATAAATTAGGTATAACATTTGTCACCTTGAATTTACCCAATCCTGCAGTTAAACTAATGCTGAAGGGGTCGTGCGTTTTGCTTGCGAGTATCAAGCTATTTGCATGTTAACGAATAATTGCAATAAGTCTGAGTGATTCGTTTATGACCTCTTTCAATATCTTCCTTTTCCATTATATTTTTTTTCCATTGACAGTCCATCCTCCGGTCCTTCATCCCGGTTAACTGACTATGTAAAACCTATCCTATGAATTTTTCTTTTATTTGTTCTCGTCCATAATTTACAAGACATATTTTCCACGGGATGTTAAAAAAAACAAGAATTAATAAATATATGTATTGTTCTGAAACATGACTAACGATACTGATGAGTACATAAAAGTTATGGTAGTGTGTGCCAGGTTAAGGTCAACGTTTCCCTTAGTTAGATGAAAATAAATCTATAAAATTGTCAATGCATCAACATTCATTATAGTCAGTTCAACATAAAACGGGTAGTTTATAATGTGATAAACGCAATACTGGTAACTGAAGCTGGGGCAATATGAAACATGAAACACAAATGATATGAGATTCCCGAAAGGGTAGGCATATCTGCCTCATATTAGTCACTTAAGCCGGATGAAAATGATTTGTCATAGTAATCCATCAACTTGTAACAGCGAACAACTGTACAAATGTCGGAAACGTTGATTCCAAGGTAAAACGTAATTTGAATTTAATACGAGGGTAACAAACTTCTCTAACACGTGGCTCATCGGGTAACATTTTTTTATGTTGCCCCTATCGCATTAACCAAATAACTGGCAAAACAAAAAATCAATTATTTGGAAGAAAATAAAATGTATTATAATAAACTAAATAATACATAGCTGAGAGCACTTTCTTACATATGTGTGATATATATAATATTTTGCATTTCGAATTATGAAAAACGAAAGACAAAAACTGATATTTTTTTTTCAAATTCAATAAATTTAAAATTTTGTCTTTATGATACTCACATAATAATTTGCTATCCTCCCAAGTTCGTCTAATATCCTAACAACATTTGGTTGTTTGATATTGTCTGGTAATGGTCTGTTAAGAATTACATAGATTCTGTATGATGCTAAAGCCACAAAAATAGTGATGAAAAGTAGTAACTTTCTCATTACTATCCTTACTATAGGTCAGTTTTAACAAAGGGTTTAATAACAAATCAAAATTTAAGAAAATTCGTTTACATATTTATTTTTATTATCAGTGCAATTTTATCTTAAGTTTAACATGTAATAACAAAGATTTTTCCAAGGCCAAACAAAACATTGTGGTGGAAAAAGTTTCACAATTAATATTTTTTTATTCAATGTGTGTCGTTAAACGTCGATATTTTCATAAGTTACTATTAACATAAATCAGAAATTATTGAGAAAATATATGATCTAGACTTTATAAAGGTATACATTTTTTTTTACTAAACCTGATGATAAATATATGTCTGGCCTTAATAGGTATTGTTTGTATTTATAAAATGATAGTGTTTGCTCTTTGACCTAAGATAATGATTTGTAGCATTCAGTGTGCGATACGATTCATTATTAATATGAGTGTTCCTGATTTATTTCCTTGTGGTCATTGTATCATAAATGCAATTCGTTATGATGCAGAGGGGCCTCGGTGGCCGAGTAGTCTAAAGATAAAGGTATTTCAACTACTGTACCAACAGCCTGTCAACACTGATGTTGTGAGTTCGGTCCCTGCACGTGACTCAAATCTTAATTGACTAGGATTGTCAGTTTTCCTGCCGAAGATCGGTGGTTCTCGGCACGCCGGCTTCCTCCAATAATCAAAACAGGCCACCAAGAATAGCTAAAATTGTTGAAAGTGGCGTTTAAAAATCATAAATTAAATCAAATCATGATGCAGAAATAAAAGTATTAAAAACATTGTTTTTAGTTTTGAGTTATCTTTCTTATTATGTTCAACTTTATCTTTGACATGGATTGTGCTTTGCGGAACGTTCATGCATATTCAGGAAGAAAACAAATTAACCAGAAATTTGTTTTATAGGTAAGTTTAAGTGTGATTTCGGATGAAGAACTGGGGATTATGGAATGTTACTTAAAATCAATTTTTATTACATATTTATGCTACAACCACGAAATTAAGAATTATATCGAGCTTTTCGTGTGTTGTTCGATGCATTGTTTAACATTGTCACGGACAGCACGTGCAATTATAGTTGTTGTATTTTAGACGGAAATAAAATGTGATATTGACCAATCAAAATTATGGATTCTAACGAAATATACATGTAATGTAATTGTATATATATAACCTATCTTGAAATTAATGCAAATAAAACACAATATAAGGGATGATTTTTCTTTCCCTACTGCTAATTTTCCTTCTTTGGACGGCGATGTTCCTCTGGCACCAACTTACGGTGTTTATATATCCCAACTCGTTCGTTATGCCCGTGTCTGTAGTGACGTTTTGGATTTCAATGATCGTAATCGATGTATTGCTGGTAAATTATTAAGTCAGTGATTTCGTTACCACAAATTACTTAAAACCTTTTAATTTACTAAATTCTTCCAAAGATACAAAGATTTGGTTTGCAAGTTTGGCTGTACCTGTAAAAAAAACTTATTTCAGACGGAATAGCACATCCTAAATTTTACGCTGATGTTGTTTACAGAGATCGGAAATTTATATACGATCCGGGTAAACTTATCAATCCTTTAAAAAAAACTTATTTTAAAAGGTTACCAATTCAACACTGTAATTAGATCTTTGAATATTGTTTTTATTGGTATAAATATTATTTTTTTATCAGTAAATTAAAATCATACTAAATAGTTTTGTTATACACATATGCACTTTAAAGGTACCACAATCTGTCGATACCTTTATTTTGGCATTGCACAAGGTCATGGTTTTCTCTGACTGTTAATGACGTCTTTACACTAAATCCATTGGATGTTGGATGTGTACTGATTGATATATAAGTCTTAGATACATGATTTTTCTTTATTAGTTGTTATTGGCTTTGAACTAGCTGCCAGTAACTGCCAGTATTCTTAGATCTGTACTTAGTGTCATTTTTGTTGTTAGGGATGAGGGATGGATAAATACCCTGTCACGTCCGGTCCGTGTTTTTGTTTGATTGTTCTGCTTTGTATAGTTTGTTCTTATGTTGTGCTGTTTCACCACTGTCCCAGGTTAGGGGGAGGGTTTAGCGCTCACAACCATGTTTAACCCCGCCACATTCTTTATGCACCTGTCCCAAGTCAGGAGCCTGTAGTTCAGTGGTTGTCGTTGGTTCATGTCGGTTATATTTGTTTTGTTAATATATTTGGCCGTTAGTTTTCTCAATTGAATTGTTTCATGTTTTTTTTTATGTCGGGGTCTTTTACAGCCGACTACTATACGGTATGTGTTTTTCTCATAGTTGAAGGCCGTGCGGTTGCCTATAATTACTTACATCAACTTCATTTGCACTTTGGTGGATAGTTGTCTCATTGGCAATCATACCTCATCTCCTTATTTTTATATTGTATAATTCTAAAATTTCAAAGTTGACGCATGTTTAGTATTTACAACAGAGACTATAAATGTAAGCCAGACCTTCAGTCGACATTTGAGATCCCCTGGGTCTTGGTTATATGCATGTTGTTACACATTACAAGGATGGTCGAAATACAGCCACGGTATGCCACAGTGGTGCTGGAACAAACTTTTGAGGAGACAAGGACCGCTTATTACCAACCTTTCATAAATTTGGGTTAAAAGGTGCAGCAGGGTAATATAGTTGCACCGTTCATCCTGGACTATCATTCCTTCGAACCCATATTCAAAATATATCTTAAGGACATGACATTTGAACTTTGACCAAGCTTAAAATTACTTCACAAAAGTTTTTGTCTTTCTATGAGAAAAGTTTAGCTTTGGTTGTGATTTGATGTAAATCTCAAACTTTTATCGTGCCTACCGTAAAACTACTTGTGTAGTCCGATATTGCTCTGACATTTGGCGGCCTTTTGTGGACTGGTTTAGGCTGAGGGTCTAGGTCGTGGGACGTCTCAACGAAGTCCATATAGAAAACATGGAAATTCCCGACCCGAAATTCTGTCTCGAAATCGTAATATATCCTAGACAACAGCCAGTCCTAAAAAAAACATAAGTATTACAGTGGCTCGAAACACCAAATTAATTAAGTATTGCTGTAATTCAGTTTCCATCCAAAATTTTCTACTATGAAAATAACTTGGGAGATGTGTTACAGTTGCTAATGACACAACTAATTTCATCAGGACCACCAAGCATACATCGATGTACAATTGTATCCCAAAATCCTAGATCTCAAATTACAATGAAGAACTTTGTTGTCCTCAGTTCAATGCAGAAAAAAACAGTTTCCAGTCTTAGTGTCTAGAAGGTCTTAATAAAAAGTTGAAATACTCACTTCTCACGACTCCGTCCAATACATTAAGCAGTACTTGTTACTATTCATTGATAACTATTGCATAGTCCTTTTGAAGGTAGATCTTTGGATCAATTGGTATTTTACATTGACAAATATGTCATGCATTTCAGGCTGAGAACAAATGGATTTGGTATGGTATGAACCCTTCTTTTTATTTGACGGATAAGCTGAGACAGATTTTTAATCTGACAGTTCACAAGGTATCAGACTGCAGGAAGACATGCAGCCTTACCCATACACATTATTCAAATTTAGAGCAAATCAGTTTTTTCTTTACTGCTAAATTCTGCATCCTAAGCAGAGAAGCAGCATATACCAATTTTCAAGTCTTTGATCCAGCAGTGGTTAGACCTGTGATCTACATTCCAGGCAAGCATGCTACCACTAGATGTCCAAAGTGATCACACTGATATCCTTTAGTTAACTGTTGCATAGTCATTTGAGGAAACATATGCAAGGGTAATAAAAAATTGCTGATAAAACCGGTAAGATCATTCTACAAATCTTGTCATTATCAGAGAAAAGATTGTCATATCTGGGGGTTAACGTCAACTCACAAATAGACCCTCACAGGGCATTATCAAGACAGGACTCGGACTTCTTTTAAACTGAGTTTTACTGTGCATATTGCTGTGTGTTTCTTTATTCTACATTGGCTAGAGGTATAGTGGGAGGGTTGAGATCTCACAAAACATCTTTAACCCCGCCGCATTTTTGCGCCTGTCCCAAGTCAGGAGCCTCTGGTCTTTGTTAGTCTTGTATGTTTTTTTAATTTTAGTTCATTTATATGTTTTGGAGTTTAGTATGACGTCCATTTTCACTGAACTATTACACATTTTTATTTATGGGCCAGCTGAGGCCCACCTCCGGGTGCAGGAATTTTCTCTCTCCATTGAAGACCCATTGGTGGCCTTCGGCTGTTATCTGCTCTTTGGTCGGGTTGTTGTCTCTTTGACATATTCCCCTTTCCATTCTCAATTTTATTTGTGGGAAAACCTGACAAATATTGATAGAGAGATTGTTGCTTACATCTGTCCAGTGGCAAAAATTTCATATATCTTCAGGAGGAAACTTTCCAAAGACAACTAGCAAATAACTGTTTTTTCAAATAAATTTAAACAACAAAATAATCCATTTAAGGCTATTTTATTACATCTGATGGTCAAATGTGTGAAAGGACAAAAACAATAACCTTGGTCAAATGATTGTATTTTTAAAGACATATTACAGTCAAATAATACAGAATATGTTTTAGTCATGCTTTGATAACATATTTCAAAGTAATAAATCTATCTCCCAATACAAAATATGAAAAAAAGATTACTATGAAAATTATAAAAAGTCTGTCAGTTTCTAGTATTTGTAATGTGTTCTCTTGAAAGTTTGAAATACACAATAAATACTCAGTATTTAGAATTGTCAGTTTCTAGTATTTGTAATGAGAGCTCTTAAAAGTTTGAAATGGACAATAAATACTCAGTATTTAGTACAGGGCTAAATTGCAGATATTTTTCAAACAATGAAATCATCTGTAATTGGTACCCAACAAATAATTACAACTTTACATTTAATGTAGCAATGGACATAGGTTTTCATAAATGATATACACAGTATAAAAACACCATTGAAAGTTCCTCATGTACACAAAACAACCTTGTTTCCACAATAAGATGGAACTACCTCATTTTTGTCCTAATTAATTGTAAGATGTTCAGACTGTTTTTGCTTCAAAATGTTTATTCCTATATCTGAGTACAACATCTGTAAATCAATTTTAGATGGTGCTAACTCATTGAAAAAGTTCATTGTTATAATTTTCATACTCAGCAATTTTTAACTTAAGTTTGAATTTTCAGTGTTATATCTATACTGGTTGTACCATAGAAACTCGCCTAATAGTCGATCCTACTCGGGTGCCCTTTTCAGCTCCAAATTCTAAGGATTTAGTCTTGACCCTCGTATAAGTCGGACAAAATTTGGGCATTTTTTTTTTCAGCTGACAGTAACTGAACGCCGGTAAAACCAATGCAAATCCAGGAATAATATTCATTTCTGCATTAATGTTTGTTTGGTTTGTGTCTGCAAACTATCATAATTTTAATAATTTTAAACAAAGTATTTACAAAAATCTCTGTGAAACTGACGTAAACTATAAAGAATATTGACATATTTCACAATTGTTTATTTATTGGCTTTAAATGTTGTAAAAAAACAGTGTGTACAAGGAAGGAAAGTACCCAAAATAATGATCAATCCATACTTCCATATTTGTTGAGGTAGTTGATTTGAGCATGAAATATGATGACTAACTGATACAAAGTGGAACCAATGTTAATGGAAGCTGCAATGACATGTATTTCTTCAATGGATATAAGTGGCAGTTTATAGCAATATACAAAATGGTCAGTTGTGGGAGACATACCGGATCCTCAATTCTTCAGAAAGTTTGTCACTCTGGAAACTCCATTTAACAGCAACTTTGAATATGCTTGATGACAATAAGAGTGTAAAAGACTATTAGAAGTTCCTAAATATGTTTATAACATTAAAGGATTAGTTTCATAAGATGCAAGAAAGTTGCTACACAACATGTAAGAAGGTTCTTTAAGTCGTACATATAACCTTCTCTTTTGTATTTTTCAAGATTATCTGAAAGTTAAAACACAGTACTTAGATTATCAAGAAGTTTACTTTATAAGCAAATGAATAACTTGTTCTACAATCATTACATTAAAATTCACTCTGTTTTCTTACAAAATACAGAATATTCACATTCACACATAGTATAACAATATACAAGCATACAGAGTCTCATCTTCATTATTTAAAAGAATCTGATTTTGTATTTAAAAAAGATTGTGTATAATTAATATAGAAGCAACCTGTGCCTATTTCTATAAAGAAACCATAAAAATAATTTAAATTTAGAAATTAATTCAAAAATAATCTGACATGCAAAAATATTCAAAAATAACAGCTTAGTAAAATGGTCTTACAAAATACATCTAAGAAATAATAGATGAATTTATATCCTTTAAAACAGATCATTCCGAAGAAAGCATACAAACTACCAAGTTTGTAAAACACAACCCAGATATTACTTCATAAATTTCCCCTAATCCAAAGTGCTTGAAATGCTATATAACTGAGGGATGGCTTATTTATGAAAAGAAACTCACAAATGTTTTGCAATAACTTTGCATGGTGATCACTGTTTACATTGTCTTCTCTAAAGCATCTCTGAATTATGTAGCAGTTTTAAGTCATGATAGCCAGGTGAAATCAATGAAGCAATAACAATTTAACAACAGCCATCAACAAAAACAAAATCATTCATTCTCACAGACACATCTTCAAGTCCACAAGTAAAAATAAATAACAAAATTTATCACAATACCCTGAGTTGAATATGTAATAAGCCCAAGAACTTAAACAGTTTGTAATCAAGTAAAAATAACATCTCTCAAAAATTCTATTTAAAGCTTTTTGTCAAATATTGTTTTTGTTACAAAATACATATAAAAAAATATCCATTATGGATTATATAAAACATTCTCATATCCTGTTTCATTTTTCAATATTTTCAAACATGTCAATATCGGTAGATTGTTGCTGAAAGTTCTTTTTGATGAAGTCTTTTGTACATTAGATAAAAAAAACTTATTAATGATTATCTCATAGAACTGTTTGTTTTCTTATACAAGCTGACACTCAAAAATTTAAATCAAAGGCAATATTCTGTTAACACCACAAGATGATAAGTTTCCATGTCAGATCATGTTTATTTCATAATGTGGTAAACTTTTTATGCAACTTATGACAATTTCATAATCTTCTATCCGATTTATTCAAACATGAAAACAACATAATTTATCATTTGACTACACTTAAAATTTTAAAAGAGAAATTTACATCTGACAAATTATGCAAATTACTTAAGCAAATCAGGGCAGCAAAATATCACATGACAAAATATCCTCCAATGAGATTCAAGTAACAAAATGACTATACAATAAACAATGGATTTCAATATGCCCTATTTAGCATAAATAAATGACTATAATACATATAGAAATCCTAATGCAAAGTTTTTATTTCATTTCAGAAATACAGATTGTATATATAATATATAAGCTGTTCTTAATCTCTTCCGCTTTCTTAAAAGCATCCAAAAAATAGTTGATAGTGTATATTGCAAGGTATTTCATTTCAAATGAGGATTTAAAAGTTGCCAAATAAGTCGAAATTTTACAAAAATGTGAAAATGAAATGTTCTGAAAATCTACAACCATCATTTTAATCTTAAAAAAATCTGTTTACATTTCCAAGCATTAGTCTTGAGCAACCATTTTTTACCCAGAATAATTTCCCATCATGCCTCATGATAATGGTGGTAATGATGGTGATGATGGTGTTCATGTATATGATGATGTTCATGTCTCTGTACAATGACTTTTTCACCATCTTTGTCAAGTGTATGCTCTTTTTCAATCCATTCCGCAACTTGTTGCATTGCAAGGTCATGGTCTTTCTCTCGCTGTCGGTGTCGCCTATGGTAATGTGAAGTGATTGCCGGCTCAATGTTCATTGGCAAACTTAATGGCCTGAATTTGTGTGATTTTAATGGTGATAGTGAGGAGGAAATTGTCTTGTGAAGTCCTTTCGGTGACCGAGTTGCAATTTCTTGTGGATCAAACGACTTTGATCTAATGTGATCAACCCTAGATGTCATGTCTGAATGTTTGTGTAAAAATTCCACCTCTTTTTTCACATTGTCACATTTATGGGGAAGGTCATTTGACCTTGACCTTTGATGTTGAGTATCTTCACACAATGCATTATTTTGTCCCTTGACTGCAGTGTGCTCGATTCCAGCCAAATCCAGGTAATAGTTCCTACGATCTTGACATTCCTTCGCCCGTTCATTAACGTTAGTAGCACCATTGTTTTTACTACAGTGTCCACGGTGACGTCGTTTGTGATGAGAATGTTCATGAGTATTTCCTCTACAATCAGAATGATGCCGTCTGAAAATGAAAATACAAAAAAACACATTATTAAATTATTTTGGAATATTGGGTAACCTCCCTTTCTAGCCATCCAAAAAATTATAAATATTTATTTTAATAGTTTGTATGCATGATATGTTTTAACTCTAAAATAATTCTCTCTGACCTTTTTAATTTGTTTAATTTACTGAAACTAGGTAATTGTTATCTTGAAAGGCTACAATTTTTTGCTTATTCACCATGTTTTGTGCTTACCACTTAAATAGGAATAAAAAAACAAATACATGTTCAAAGCATAAAATTCACACAATACATTGCATGATGCTGTCTATGAATTTTAAATTGTAGGTATGTTCAGAAACCGTTACATTACATCATCTAGGTTGTTAATATCTATGATTAAAGTGCATCCCGCCATTAATCTTCTTGACTATTAATTCAAAGGATTTCTCAATTGCATCTCTATACCATTCAAACTGCAGTAATGACAAAATGCATACATTGAACACTTTAAATCAGTTAGAACAGTTAAATTTTAATTATTCATTCGTTATACTTTGTCAAATTTAAATTCAATTTCAAATGTAGAAAAGAGGGTATGGTGTTCACCGAGAGGGAACTTGTAATTATACAGCTGCTAGACAGACCTTCAAGTCTCTTTAAAACACAACATTTGCCTATAAGTCCAATTCTCAATCAGACAGTGAAAGAGGCATTCAGTGACTTTAATTGATTGGCTGTTGTATGCTTTAGATTCCAGAGGTAGTGGATTTTTCCTGCAGCTAAGACTTATGGAAAAGAATGGATAAAATCCAAAATTCCTTACTTTTTTCTTGTAAAATGTAAGCTAATTATGAAGGACCCTAAGCATATGTGCTGGACTATAAATAATGTGTAATCTTCTAACAGAAATTAGATCTGATGAAACAACAAAGACTTTCTCTTAATCACTCTGATCACATAAAAGGGAAAATTCTACTATTGTCTTTGATGTAGATTATTTATTTCTATGCAAACATGTTTTTATCTGAAAAAAATGAATTATACTAAGCAAGTTATGTAGCCTTTTGGGAAATGTTCAATAAACACATTGATCAACTTCATAGAACATATCTGCTGTGATAATCGTACCGTATTGTTTTCTTCACAAGTTCAGTAAAAATTAAAGCGAACCTTGAAACTTTCTAGTTTATTAGTTTACATACAATGTATTTGAAGGGTTGTTTGTTAAATAAAATGTCAATTTGTAGTATTTAGGCCTTGGCAACACAAGAAAGGGATGGCAATTCTGTAATACATGCAGTGTTTAAGGGGGAACCCAACACATCGACTAGGCTAGTTTAATTTTCATAAAATTTTGACAAAATATTTACTATGACCTGTTGAAAAAATATCAAAATCTCAAGAAATTTTAACCACACAATTTACAGGAATAATTTCATTGGATATATAGCAGTTTGACAAACACTAATTTTGATCATTGAGAAGCTTGATTTCTCTTAACTAATAGTAGGTGATTAAAACGTTTAGCTTATTTTTAAAGAGTCAACTCCCTTTGGTGTTCTGTACCCCCTTAATATCATTCAACTTTTGAAAATTAATAAAAGCCTCATGTGTGATACAACGTTAGTTTGTATTGATATTTAATTTCTACATCAGTATCAGAATAATTTGTCTTTAAAGATGCAATATTCCAAACAGCAAGTGTTTAGCACACTCTCTAGTTACAGGTCTATAAAGACTGCAAAAAGTCGTGTGCAAGCTACTCGTGTAACTGAATTCCAACTGCCTGTACGAAAGAAGTTATTAAATAGTCAATTTCCTAACTTCAAGTATCTCAAATATATATAAGAAGATGTGGTATGAGTGCCAATGAGACAACTCTCCATCCAAGTCACAATGTGTAAAAAGTCAAAGTACGGCCTTCAACACGGAGCCTTGGCTCACATCGAACAGCAAGTATAAAGGGCCCCAAAATAACTAGTGTAAAACAATTCAAACAGGAAAACCAACAGTCTAATCTATATAAAAAAACGAGAAACGAGAAACACTTAAGAACCACATCAACAAATGACAACCACTGAAACAGGTTCCTGACTTAGGACAGGTACAAACAAATGCAACGGGTTTAAACAGTCAACAACCATCACCCTAACCTGAAATAGTAGTGTAACATTACAAATAAATGAATTCCAAAATATACTAAAGGCCCAATCCTGATATCAAATCATACATTCCACATAGCACATTTTCCTGAACCATAAACCTAGATTTCTTATAAGTAATTCTAACATCTGATGTCTACTGATAATCAACAAGTTGTTCCAATCCAATGATCAAAGATATCTTCACAAAAGAAATTGTAAATTGATATCTGTAGTCAATAATTATTTGTAATAATATTATCTTTTACAATATTTAATTTCAGTCTTTTAAATCTAAAATAAGAACTCGATCTGTTATTGAATAATTATGCAACATTTTTATGAAAATAATTTCTATCTTTTCCAATATTTATCATATAGCTCTTTAATCTAAAAGAAAAATATTTCCTTTATAGTTTTATTTTATAACTTTTTTTATTTAGGCATCCTGTATCTGATTCCCCTTGAAGAAAAGTTAAGTAAAATATATTTGGAATCTGTTACAAGAAGGTTTAGGTCCAAAACCTTTGCTGTCCAGAAGGTTATACATCTATAAAAAAATGTTGGACTGAAATAAGTTTTAAGTTTGTATACAGGCAGTGTGGTCCCATCTTTAGTCATATTTAGGCCTTCCAAGTTTATGCATCTAAAGAAAAGTATTTCTAAAATTTGTTCATGTCTTTTTAAAAAAAAAAGGTAGAATACATTCTAAAACTTACTGATTTAGATGCTTTCATATCCATATAAAAGTATTACTGATATACATATAAAGTTACTGTCATATCATTAATAATGTTTGTCAAATTTTACCATAATGACACATAATAAAATTTCCAACAACTATTTCCAATGCTAATCTTTACTCATTTTTTTAATTTTTAAAATATGAAATTTTATTTTGCCACCACTGAAGTATACAGAAAAGTCATCTTGAGCTATTACAAATTTCAGATGACAATTTTTTTCAATCAAGCAAATTTCCTGCAATTTATAATTAAAACAAAATTTCTTTACACAAATTACTCTTATAAACCTGTCAATACTAAATTCATTTGAATACCTGTTGCCTGTGATTATTATAAAACATTAATGTGATCAAGAACATTAGTCATGGTTGATTAGTTAAAGAAGTCACACCTGACTGAACAAAGACAGTTATAGATCAAAGACATTTTGATACACATCATTTCTTTGATGTTTGAACTGTATAGATATGCTGGTAGTTGTAGGTTAAATTAAAAGGGGTCCAAAGGATCCTCATGTTCATATTATAAATTATTTGTAGTTCTTTCAATAAAGCTTCTCTTAATTCATTAGCAAATTTATAGCTAAGATTTTTTTGTCATATAAACATATAAATTTAGAATAATTGGTAGTTAACTTTTAATAATGTTATTGATGATATTTTCTTTATCTTATCTACCTAGTAGTCAACTTCACTTAAAGACTTTTAAAAACTTATAAAATAAAATATTTAATAATTCTTCAGCCTGTACTATTTTGTAAGAATTTGACACTGAGAAAGGCATATCTCTTTTAAAGATTGACAGATACTTTAAAATCAAATAAGATATAAACAGGTGTCAAGGTCAAATACATTTATAAGACTTCAAACAATTCTGGTTAATCTATGAAAACTTATAAGTATCCTTTTCCAAAATCTTTATAATTATGAATTTTTAAATGACCCTTGAAAATATTATGAAAAGTATTTCTTACATTTAAAAGTGTTTCATGTCATTGAACAAAGTGATCACGAAAGGAGCCTCTTGAAGATGGATGAATCTCTTTCTTTGATTGAAATAGATGTGGCAAAAACACTTTAACAACAAATTGATTTGGTCTTTTAAATCAATTTGTATCCAAATATTCATCTATATAATGAATTCTCCCATGTAAAACAGACTTCAAAGAGATTTTCTTCTGGTGTGATCAAAGTTGATTTTTTCCCTGTTTGGTTTTTATATATTTTTTTCTGTGACGACTGATGAGTTCTTTGTAAAAATATTTTCAAACGACAAGTGAGTTTTGATCAAACAGTAAAGAAACATTACTACCTTTTACATGATTTTTTTTCACTGAATTCATTCTGAAGTTTAATTAGGATCTTAAACAGAATTCCAGCTCTCATTGTAAACATGTAATATTAAGATTCTATCGAAGAATGCAGCACAAAAAATACAGTGATAATTTATAAGTAATTGATCTGAAGTTGGTAATTTATGGGTGCTTTGGCCATGAGGGGTCTGAATGTAGATTCAATTACTGTTAACCAACATATTTTGCAAATTCTTTATTTCATGTTAAGTCCTTAAAAGCCAACTTTAAGTAATTTTATTTTCACAATTTAAAAAACAATGTGAACGTATGCATTTTTACAAGAAAAATTTTCTAATTGTATTCTTTTATTTCTTTAATTACGAAAGAAGTGATAACTATTTTGGTTTACAGTAAAGTTTCAGTTTTAAAAAAAACCTAATCATATGATCTTGAAGTTCAGAAGAATTAGAAATTGTCAGTCAGCAATGATAAAAATAATGTTCTGAAACCCCTGTACCTTATGTTTGTCAAATTCCACAAAAGTGTCTGGATGCCAAAAATCACTCAGCCATGTCTCCTTATTTTTTTGTTGGCATATTTTGGTACTTTCTTGGCTTTTATGTAGGGTTGATAAAGAAAATGATGCCATGTGACACTTCCCTACCCCCTGTATAATCCCTCTAAGGGTCTCACAAACCCTTAGCAGTATTTCACCCCTGAATCCTATGTGTATTAGCAGACTCTATAAGTATTTCTAGGCCTTGCAAATGCAGTTTATACCTAGCTGCAGAACCGTAGCTCATAGGTCCTTATGATAATTTTTGACAATTTGCGGGGTCCTTAAATTGTCAAAAAATATCAAAAGGACCTATAAGCTACGGTTCCGCAGCTAGTTTATACCAAGTTCCTTACCTCAGTTGTTTAATGTGATTGCGTTCCATATTTTCTTGCACTAACTCCGCCAACTGTTGATGTTCTTGTGAAGTAAACGGTAATCTCTTTGGACTCTGACATTGACTTAAATTGTTACCATAGCAATGACCTTGTATCTCACTATTGCACTGTTTCAAGGGCATTTGTAAATTTGCCTGTGTAAGATTGTTCACTTTTTGTAACTTTGTAGTGTCCTTGACTTTTGGAGTGTCCTTGCACTTGTCCTTATTTTCTTTGGACTTTGGTGACCCTTTGTGACTGGGTGACAATGACCCATCTGGGCCCACAGTCAGTCTGAGTTTTAATGTTTTTGTTCCATTTGAGGGTATTTTGATAGAGGATCCCACTGCATCATATAAAGCTTTCAGCAAACTGGATAAATCCTGAAAAAGATCAACAAGAACTGAAAAAACTTCAATATATATACCTGGTTGCAAAACACTTTTTTATACCTATATTTTTTTTATTTTCATATTCATTTACATTTGTAACAGATTGTATTTGCTCCCATCCCTATTACCCAAAGAAAAAAATAACATGAAGAGTCCAACCCTCTCATACATTTTTTCCTGAAATAGCCCTTAACAAATCCTATCTGCCAGTATATATGTTTCACTCCACATTTTTCCTGAAATAGCCCTTTACAAATTCGATCTACCTGTAAATGTTTCACTGAACACTTTACTATAATTCAAAATTTGTGCATTATAATGGTATAATGGAGCAAACCTTTTTAGCTAATGATTCTATAATAAACTGCTTCGCTGAGCGCAGCTGGATACGCCCGCAGAGGTCCAACCCTGAACAGTTGGGGCAAAAATGAACACAATATTCAAGCTTGATTCAGGTCTGAATTTGGATTGTAATTAAATATTTGACATATTATAGGTTTCTGAATAAATGTAGTCAAAGAACTTGAAATTGGTTATATGAATTGAATTTATATTCAATTAATGATTTCTTGCGGTTGTGCAATACACTATGCTGTTGCGCAATACTTAGTAAATCTGTTGTCAGACTATAAACAAACAAAATTTATAAAATTCTAAAGGGAGCTTACATCAAAAGATATAATCAATTCACCAAAGTTTCATAAGAATTGCTGAAAGCATTTTTGAGTTATTGAATAAAACCCCATAACTCGGAAATGTAAAATCTAAAATTTATAAAATTCTAAAGGGAGCTTACATCAATAGATATCAACAATTCATCAAAGTTTCATGAAAACTGCTGAAAGCATTTTTGAGTTATTGTCCGAAAACTGGAAAATCACCCTTTTTTTTTATGAATAAAACCCCGTAACTTGGAAACGCAAAATCTAAAATTTATAAAAATCAAAAGGAAGCTCATGTCAATAGATATAAACAATTAACCAAAATTTCTTGCAAGTTGGTGAAAGCATTCTTGAGTTATTGTCCGAAACCTGGAAAATCCCCCTTTTTTTAATGAATAAAACCCAATAACTCGGAAACATAAAATCTAAAACTTATAAAAAACGAAAGGGAGCTCACGTCAATAGATATAAACAATTCACCAAAGTTTTATGCAAATTGGTTAAAGCGTTTTTAAGTTAATGTCCGACATGTTGACGACGGACGGACAGACGGACGGACGGACAGACGGACGGACAGACGGACAGAGGTATACCATAATACGTCCCGTAAACGGGCGTATAAAAAGCTGTTGTGATTCCTATTACACAGAAAGCATATTTATATAAATAATTTTCATGAAACCAATGCATGATATCTTTTTTATCGTATATTCTTACAATTACTAATACATCATGTAATATAATTGCTTTGACTAATAATTGTACGATTAAAGTACATAAATTATTAGGATATTACTCAAGCTGTTGGAAACATATTGCATGCCTCCCAACTCCTATACTAAAAGTCCCATCAGTTTAATAATTAAATTCCATACACAAGCTTTTGTCTTCAGTTTTCAGAGGGATAGATCAAAAGCAACCCGGACATCAATAAAATGTTTAAGTCATCCTTTGAAAATTATCTTTCCTTTAAAAATCAAAGAAAAATCATAGATAATTACTTAAAAGTAATAAAAAATGCTTTTTCCGAGCCACAGCATGCGTCAGACATATTTTCAAGCCATTTGCCCACAAGCGACTTTTTTCAAGCTATTTTGATCCTTAATTAATTGCTGATCAAAGAGTAGTTATTGTCATTAACTAAAGCCTTTAATCCTTGTCAGAAAATATCAAAGACAATTAAAAAACTCTTCATACTTCAGATTTTTTTCATCATCAAAATGTATGTCTGCCAAAGAGAGATTAAGGCGATATTGATATACAAACTGTTAACAAACAATCTTTGTTAAAAGGCGTCAAAAAGGCAGAGTGCCAACATGATTTAATCTTGCACTCAAATTCCTCTGCTCTTCAGAATTTAGGAAAGGAAAAAATGTTTATGTGCTAGTTTCCTGGTGCTGTTAATACTCAAAAGAATAGGGAAAAAAACAAAAAGACAAAACATTTTTTTGATTGGACAAGCTGTCTTGTTTAAAAAAGTTTTTCTAATAGAAGGGTTTTCATACAGCTTTTACTGTTAACAAGTATTACTGAATGCTAAACTGTTATGTTTCTTGACCTTTGACCTTTAGTGGGTAGTTGTATAATGAGTAATCATAAACATCTCCATATTTCAATCAGTATTTATGGACATAACTAACATCCACTCAAGTCAAACTTCTTTTTTTTAATCTTACAAAATAAAAGTTTAAGAACTGATATAAAATCCAATCTCTTAAAGAGGCATTAGCTACGAGATATAGAAAAAGAATAAAATATGATTTTTTTTTGTTCAATCATTATTTAAAGTGAAATAGTGATATAATAATTCGCTTTTAGCAGCCAGTTTGGTTCAGTTTTGTCAAAATAAGCAAAGAAACATTGCTTATGAATTATTCACTTGCAAGTGAATAATTCGACCTCAAGAAACCCGTATTCATGTGAAATTCAATTAAAACCCATTAGATAGAGATGGGTTACGCATGAACTAGGTGCGTTCAGCCATTAAAAAGAAAATAATGTCAACATTGGAAGTGTAACAAGGGTAAACCATTTGGTGGATTGTTTCTATCTACAAAAACTCATTGTTACACAGGTAAAAACGATTTTTTAAACCTTTAATATGAAATCAAACAGACCTAGAAAAATCCAATTGCATGAGTTCGCTATCTATATATTTATGTTTATATCGTGTTAAATGACTGTCTGCAGTCTTCAGAGGTCACCTCGATGGTTAATTAGATGGCATCTAGACTAAAATACACACGAAATGCTGATACATATTATCGAGTCTGTGCTTCTAAAATTGTTTATTTAAGACTTTTTATTAAATGAATATACATTTTAGTATGTTATAAATCAAATACGAGAATTTGAGTCAAATCAGTGAACATGAATTTGACAGCTAATGCCCCTTTAAAAGTCCCCAGTGGTTGACTGTGGTATAGAAATATGGTCACCTTGTCTTCTCCTGTCCAACAGTAAAATTCATGATAGGATGCATCTGTTTGAAATTGAAACATTAAATTTTATGCCTGATGCCGGGAGACTGCCAACTCTCTGCACTAAACGAAACCTTTGCAACAAATTTCTTCAGGGTCAGTAATGCAAAATAATATACTACAAAATCTGAGATGAAAATAATTTTCTTTTTTAATTTTTTTTTTAATTAACTTGACAACTGTCCCTATTCGGCTTCAAATTGATTCATCTCTATGTTACCCATTGAGAAATGGATATATACTTGGATAACAGCTAAGCCTTTTAAATTGTGTAACATTTCATGTTTAATATACAATCCAGGCTGTGCCCAAGTATGGTTTTTCATGTTTAATCCATATCAGTATTTCAAAGGAAGATATACACTGAACAATTTTCATGTCTTAATTTGAACGTTTCATCTTACTGAGTTAAAAACTTCAAAGTGTGAATCAAACTGATAATTTTAATGATTCCTTAAAAAGAAATAAATTTGCTTTTAGAAGCTTTTAATAAAAGAATACCTTCCAATTTCTGTTCAAATTGAAAAATTTAAATGCTATAAATTTTTCATATGGTTTTTCTTGTCCAATTTTTAATATGCACCATTGCAATTTCACATCAATAAAACTCACTTTACCAATGAAGTAATAAATTTCTTTTAAGCAATTAAAACACTACAGGAAACTTGATTAATAAACTGTCATCTGACAAAGAATTAGAATAAGAAATGTTGTTATAAATTAAATTAGAAATGGTTTACTGAATTAAATCATCATCCATAACTGTGACTAATTGAATTGGAGATATATAAACTGGTGCTTAAGGACTAGTTGTTGGATTTTAAACCAAGGAAGGGAACCGGTTTTCATTTATGGATATGCAAAGAATTGGAACTAAGTGAGAGCCTATTTTTACCTTGAAATCAGACTTTCCATTTATTGATTAGAATTATACAGCAATTGAAATATTTTAGAATGGGAAGAGTTTAATTAAGTTCTATCCTTTTAATTAAATCTATCACTTTGAATTGAAAATATCTGCATAAACTTTTTAAAACTATTTATAACACTTGTATTACCCTTAACTTCTTTTTAAAATGTTACCATGACTACTGTAATTACCTCTTTTGTTACTTTGCCCTGCCCATCGAAATCATACAGAGTAAAAGACCATTCCTGTTTGTTCTTCTCTGTACTTTCAAACTGTACGCCACATTCAAACTCCTAAAAATACAAAAAAGATAAAATAAGTGTTTATGTTCTAAAGAAAAGTGCTTATTTAAACATTCTATACATACATGTTTAATATTTAAGTATAGCGATAAGTTAACAACTTTTTACTGTAATTTACATGATAAAAAACTACATTATTTTAGTATCTTATTATTTTCTAGTAGTTACTATTGTCTAGAAGTAAATTACTGTAATATATTAAGTTAGTGTAATAGTTTCAGCTCTAGTTTAATAGCAGAAAAACACATCTAATAGATATTGCAATCTTTAGGGAAAAGTACACATAGCTCCCAGACATCGATTGCCTAGCACTTGGTAATTTACTCTGAAAAAAAGTGTGAGAGAAAACTACTATTTTAGCAATACTGATAAATCACAAAGTGAATGGAATATGGGATTAAATAAGTTTTACTGAAGGAAAGCTTTGATGTCATCCCCTAGAGAATAATTGACCACTTTGTTCTTGTCCCAGACCTACTATTTTATTCATTTCATCATAAAACCATGGTAATTTCTAAATAACTTTCAATTTCACACCCTCATATCAGGAGAAGATCAAGTGATTGGCTTGAGGTTCTACTAATAAATCTTCAATGAAATTAACACAGATCTGAAGAATTCAAACATAGCATCTACATAGATCAATCCCTTATCAATCACTCAGGTGAGACAGATCAAAGGGTCCCACCTGTCATTAATGATCATTGCTATATAAATATTTTCTTTGTAGTGGTGAAAACTCCAATCAGTGTAAAATGTGCCCATAAGGTGTAAATGGATTAATTAAGGATATTACTTGCTATCAGAAACAACTCTATAGACTGGCAATGGAGTGCACCTCACTTAATACAAGAGGACTAGATGTAATTATTGGCATCATGCTTACAATAATACACCTTAGTTTAATTCTTATATATTTTTCCATCCGAACTCTATCTGCCCTTCTAGACAAGGGTTTACTGTTACCTGACTGGTCCAATTTATCTGCATTGAACTTTACATATTTGTCAAAGTCGTTATTTTAAAAGTAAAATGCAAATGCTGAAATCAAAATTGCAATACCCCAACATGCAAGTTATGCAAAATGTTCAAGGTCAAAGAACCAATGACTTAAGTACAGGGCCAAACAATCCATGGAATGAGATGTGCCAATGCTTATACAACTGCATACCAAATACCATTGACTGATCATAAGTAGTTCCCCTTAAACTGACCTAATCACAAACTTTTAACAAGTTAACTAAGCAACATTTTCAAAGTCAATAGACCACGACTCAGACTGAGGCGGAGGGGAGCCAAATAAACTCCTTGGACATGAGATGAGCCAATGCTAATACAACTGCATACCAAATTTCATTGACCTACCACTAGTGCTTCCCCATAAACTGACCTAATCACAAACTAATACATTTAACTAAGCATTAAAATATTTCAAGCCATAAACTCTGCAAAAAACAAGCTGATAGCCAAGAGGATATTGGAGAGTACTTTTGAAAAACAACACCCAAAATAGGACAAATCAACATAAAAAAAAAAAAAATTTGATTCATTATTTTCACCATATCAAAAATGTATTATTATCAATTTATTATATCTTAGCATTGCCGTTCTTCTGTTATTGCCATCAAAGATCTATAACAATTAAACTTCTGTTTCTATTAAGGATAAAAAGACTGCCGGTATTCTTTTGATGCCCACTCTATTTCTTTGATCCTGGAATATGATAAAAACAATAGCCTACCAATGACAAATATTGTACATATAAAACTAACATTATGGTCCTGTTTATATTTTTGATGTTTTGATCATCAAACGGAAATTGTTATTTCTGATCATCAAAAGATCATCAATGACTGACCATTAATGTGTCAAAGTGACCACACTATTCAGGTAAAAATATATACTGGTCAAAATCGGTCAACTTAGTTGCCCTTGTTGAGGATTGACTTGTGAACATTCACCAAAAAAATTTGGAGGACAAAAAGGGGTTTATACATCATCAGATTAAATTTTTTGCAAAATGAATAACGATATTTGCCAGTTCAACCAATATTTGTAGATACATATAAAGCAATTCTGGATGTTTTGAGTTCTAAACTAAATATCACTTGTGTAAGCTCATCACAAAAGTGTAACATCAGTGAAAATTGTTTAGTTTTTGAAAATTATATGTTCCAATGCTGAGATTATATCTATAATGCATTCTGTATTTTTCCTTCAAAATTTGCAATGTTTTGTCCAATTAAGGCACTAAATGTCAAAATTTTGCCTTTAAATTTTCTTAAGCCCTCATCAAGCAGTTTACTCCCTTTTGTTTTATGAAGTCATTAGATTAAAACTTCAGTGTCAAATTTAAACCTGGTTTTGTTCCAATTTAGTTTTCCCAAATGTCCCTCTTGGACTATTGAATTAAGGGGTTAAAATGTTTCATTTTGTAACAGGACAGTGTTAATAGCTGGTCAACAAAGGTAGAATTTAGAGGTCAACAGACAGCCTGACTATATACTACTAAGGGCATTTAGTGTAACTACTAAATTGATGGACAATTTATGTATTGTTTATTGTTTACAAATATCTACATGAGAAATAAAAGCCTGGCTGTGATGTTTACCTATATGGTCAAATGTCATAGAGGTGTAAAAGTGTGATGAAAGTTTGACATGTTTGTTTTATTATTATGGGAGGAGCATAACTTAAATGCAATTGACCAGTAAAAAGCTCATTTCTATTAGTTACTCAGTTATGACAGGAAAAAACAATAAAATACACAAAATTCGGATTCACCAACTTTTGTCAAAGATTATAGGGACCTCAGCAAATGTTTAGTATAATGTTTAAAAAAAATTGGAACTTTCAATACAAATTTTAAATTTAAGCATATTTTAAAGTTGTGATAATACAAAACGAAAAAACAGGAATCATGTCACAACGAATACAGATATATCATGTATGACACTTTAAAAAAAATAAACAGATTTTCACTCACTCAGGTCAACTTTCAATTTTTTTTGGCCCAGCATTATATACAGAGAGTGTATGCAAGTACAAGAACTACATAATTTATAAGAGTGTTTGTCTATATCTCTCATATAAATATTTACTTCGTACTTGCATGCCCCCACTTATTCCCCAGTCATAAAATGTGTCAAAATTATACTTTTTCTAGTTTTTTGCTGAAAAATTAACTGCATCAGCTATCCTTCAACCGTTAAATCTTGGTGCATATTTGAAAGAACTTAATGTTTAAACTTTGCACATACTTATCAATTATTTTTACACAAAAATCACAAGAATTCATAATACTTCAATTTTTCAGGATAAAATAGAAAATCCTACTTTCATCATAAAATAAAATATCAGGTTTCAATTGACTCTCCCTAAAGGATAACCGCTTCCAGATCTCAACTTGCACACACTCTATTTAAGACACTTGCAACTTTTACAACAGTATGAAGTTTTGATAAATAATTAACCCCAAAAACACCCATGTGTAATTTTTAAAATTATCACTTGAAATTCCATTGAAGAATCTATGTTCATTCTGATGAAAGTCATGCTATTTGTTTAATGACATCTGCTTCAATGGAAAGTTTCCCCATTCATTAATTATTCTGTGTTATCTACTAGAACAACTATGTACCATCCACCCTTCTTATTGTACCAACCCACATCCATCGGTATTTCACAACAGATGTCTCAGAAGTGAAGTAGATATTCACGCTCCACCTCACCTAAGAACGGAACTCAAAAGGAAATATTGATCAAACGGACTACAGAATGAAGCATTAAATGATCCTATTAATACCATTACGTTAAATATATTCTTTTTTCTCTCTTTTTGTTTACACCTGTTTTAGCCATCTTATAAATCTGCACTTTGTACAAATATACATGGAATGCATCTGAAAGCTTTTGAAACTTCTCAATTGTTTGCTTTCACATCTCTCTTTCATCAAATAAACTGAGTATTTTTATAAAACATTGTAGATAAAAGAAATTGGTTTTTCATTACACCCTAAAGATGGCATATAAAGCTTAATGGAACATGATACAATTTGACTTCAAAGTACAAAATTGTATTTAACAAGTTTGTTTACCTACCGATCGTAATGGAATATATTTAAATTGATTCCGATATATTTTTCCCCTATTGCCCATTAAGCATTAAATCTCCCTTTGATTCAGAGAAGTTCTTTTTAATAATGACTTTATTTATACTTTTATTTACTTCTGAGCATTTTCTGTTTTTACAAAATAAATCATAAAAGGTCATGATCACAATGGCCTTATTTGTAAATCATGCACAGAAAAAAATCTGATATCCATTAATTGGGTTTATTTTAACCACAGGAATTCATTCTAGGTTGGAAACTTTTGGATGCATTTCTGAGTATGTCACTTTATATTCTTAACTACAAAAGGACAATGGTGTATTAACATTTACAATTATTTTTAGTTTAAAGGGTAAAGCTGAACATCTGCTGTGGTCAATCCAAAATTTCATGTCAGTTTTATCCTGTGAATGCTCTGATGTGACTGAATTAATGTATATGGAAAAAAGACATAGATCTTCCTTTTGAAATCCAGTTTACCTTTTGAAGTTTTTAGAAGACTATCAGGCAATCTCCTTTGATGTCTGACCTTGCAATTAAGCTCTTCCTATTGCTAATAGTAGTTAATTGACCCAAATTTGATGGAGACTGGTTGCAATAGGGGAACTGTACAATGCACACAAGCTAAAGTTAAAGTCCCAAGTCATTTTGCTAGCTTTCAACTTCTGACCTTGAAAAATATTTTAAAGTTCTCCCCTAGCAAATCATTACATAGTATTTGATGAAGACCTGTTGCAAAATTGGAGCTTTAAATTTCAAATTCTTTAATCTACTATGGAGTGTTGTGATTCTGACTTTTGACCTTCAACATTGAAATGTCATACAAATGACCTTCAACATTGAAATGTCATACAATTTAAGCTCTACCAATGGGATAAGTAGAAAAAGATTTTATGCAATACTTGATCTCTGCCTAGGTTACCACAACCAGCAGACACACAAACAAAAGAACACTATTTCCAATCTGAATTTTCATTATGAGGTGTCATAATCTACGTTCATTGACCAGCTGACAACATATCTGTCAATCCTGGATATAACAGACAGGGGGTAATTTTGAGATCAATTTTCAACTCCACATAATGGACTAAAATGAACTTTTTTCTGTGAAGATGCGTTAATTCATACCTCAATACTTAATCGATTGTCCTGTGTTGTTTCTGTTGGGGTCTTTTCCTTTTCGTCTGACTGAACGGGTTTTTCCAGGTTGTTATCCAATGTCAGTAATTTGTTGCTGTGTGACTCCATCTTTTGAGGCGGTAGCTCCACTGTTAAAATATGACACTTAAAACTAAATATTCACCATTCACTTATCTTAACTATAAGCAATTGTTTTGAATGTGTTTTACATTGTATTTGTTTGTATATTATATAGGTCATATCAAATTGTCAAACTAAAGAGGTACACTATGTTATAGTAGTCTCAGACTACATGAAATTTTAATTTAAATTTTACATGAAGTTTTATCTAAATTTTAACATGATTTAATTTCAGTTTGAAAACTATAACCTTATAAGTTTTCCCAAATACATAAAACTTTTGAAAATTGGTCATTTTTTAACCATCATGACCATGATAAATTAAAGTACATCTTACCCCTCAGAGGCACACTTTCCCCTCCTTTATCCTCCAGACTGACAGACAACTCCTGGAATTAGAAAAATTCAAATCAAAATCAAAATGTTATGTTACATCTAACAAGCTTCCTTCAAAAAACTTCTCTCTTTGTCAGTCCTATCAATCTTCAAATCGTTTTTATAGATCTTAAAAATATCAATTAGTCAAAATGTTTTTGACTCAGCTGTTTCCCTGAATCATACATCACCAGAGCAGAGAGAAAGATGAGTAACAAATTACCTACAGCTATTGATCATTATTGATTTTCAATTTACTTGATCCACCCATTTTTTAATATCAATTATATTCAATTACTCAAGTAATTAACAAGTTCATATTTCACACAATTGATTTAAGATTCGATTCTTCTTTAATTGTACTTGTGGAATCTGCTGCATAGCAGCTGCTGCCAAATTCACATTTTTTCTTCAAATTTTTATCAGTTGATCTTTTAAGTTCCATCTGACAGACAAACACCACTGTTCGTCACTTTTGATGTGTTAGTGATCATTAAAATTCAAGTTTTATCCTAATTACCAACATAAATCAACATTATTCTGGTGGTCTTTTGAATTCAAAGAAACTTAAAAACAACAAAACATAAGTATATTTATTCAAATTTCTAAACATCATTCTTCAGATAAGTGCAACAAGAGCACAAAGGTAAACAAGAGAAAACTGTTTTCTTCAAATCTTGCAAATTGCAGGTTTCACATGCAACGACCTGTACAAAGGAATGGACTATCCTTATAAAAATCTGGCATATTTTGTGCATAATCTAAAACTGCTTTTTTTCCTTCAAATCTTAAAAAAAAAATTAAAACACCTCAATAAATTGCTTTATTTTTATCTAATAATTATGAAACCTCATTTTCATTTATTTTCAAAATGTTTCTGACAAAACATTCTTTTATCTTACATGGTAAACATTAAATACAGTTTTCTGCAAATTCATAATGCTCCTATCATACATACTTTATAAGAAAATGTTCATACAGTTATGCAGTGCTGATCTTTAAATTTCTATTCTCTATCAGTAGACTAAAATTCAAATAATGCAAGGTCTTCATAATTAAAAATATATTTTACTGGACCTACAAAAATGTATTAAATGTGAAAAACCTCTAAAACTGATTCAATCTGATATATTTGTTATGAACTCCATGCTTGTGTAACACAACAGATACCTCTTACTATAAGCAGAGACATATAATACAATATGTCTCTGCTATAAGTAATTTACAGCTTAAATAAACAGGAATAATCTATTTAATTTTGTTGAAATATTATAATCTTCACTAGAATCAGCTGAATATTCGATGTTTTTATATGCAAAATCTGTCCCATTAAATTCAAATATATTTATTGTTTGGACAGAAGCAGGTGTAGATTGTCCTAAAAATCGAACAGCTGCACACATTCCTAATTTTATATCCTACTGAAATATCATTAGCAAATTTAGAATATATATAGAGTTCACAATAATTTTTCTGACAAAAAAAAAACAACAATTATTGTAATATATTAATAAACAAACCTTTTGAAAAAGAGCTAAATCCAACATTTTTTATTTTGCAGACTACCAAATTTATTTACAAACACAAATGACTAGTCCAAGCTGATAAACACTATACACTAGAGTGAATCTAACAATAAAATGTACATCTAGTATTCTGCCAATCACTCTGGGGATGTCATTTCCAGATCAATAAATTTGTCACAACATTCTCAACACTTTCTCACTGTCTTCATAGTATTTTCATTGATCAAAGTTAAAGGGGGCATCTCAAAGTGTAAGATTTTTACTAGAGACAACTATTTGACAATCAGCATTTAATATTCATTTTTTCTTACATAATCTTTTATTGAAGTGTAATTATACACCCTATGAATCTATTGTCCCTGACCTTTAACCTCTAAGTCTTTATAATCCCCTAAGGTTATTTTTAACAATGTCACAATAAAGTAAACAACTTGTTGCTTTTTTAAAGTTCTTTTACTTTTATTATGAGAAATATGTTTACATTACTACAAAAAAGTCATTGCTTTCTGCTAACATAGAAAAACATATTAGCCATCAATTGATGATAATTACTGGCTCTTCACACTTCTAGCTCAGATAACAAACCTAGATCAATGCAGTGTATAATTATTGCATTTGTTCATAATGGTTTTTGTAATTTCTAATGCATCAGTACTATATTACTTCATCTGGAGAAAAACAAAACAAAGCTTAAGAGCAAGTAACATATGTGTAGGTTACTGTTTTGACTGAATAATGTAAACTTTGAACTGGAAGGCAGAGGTCACACTTATGGTCAATTTATAATAGGACCATTGATTATCATCAATATTGTTTTTTAATATGCAAAATTGAGTTTTGAATCTGCACTATTTCACCAAATCAATTGCTTTTACATGTATTCAATGTAAAAAGTATTCAAATCAAAGTAAATTTGGAAAAAAGGACAAAGTTACTAAAATTCTTAATCTTTTGATATCCAGAAGTAAAATATAAGAGGCATGACCCTTTTAAAAAATATTCAGACATTATTGTATGAACTGACTATGGCACTTTTCTATATTCCCATAAAACCCCCAAACCAGTTTTTGGCAGCTGACTATTAATGCCTTAGGGGGAGACAACTCTGAACGTTACAGCATAAAACATGACACTTATGTCATGTAAGAAGGTATAAAACACAAGTTCTAAGTGATGAAATGAATGAATATTGACTGTTAATGACTGACCATATATATGTCAAATTGTATAAGCAACTGGCCCACAAGGGAGATGTACATATTATATAACTGTAAAAACATTTAAAAAAACATCAATGTTTATCAGGCATCTTTTCTGTTCAACCTGTAGAGGAAGTTGACAATTAATAATAGGCCTAATGTGAAAACTATTAAAATTAAATCAATTAAATATTACAAATCAATTGAAAAATTGAAATTATACTATGTATATATAATTTTTTTTTTTTTTTTTTTTTAATCAAAAATTTTCAAGATTGACCATTTTAAAAATTGGAAATAATAATTTAAAATTTTTTTTTGTAAACAGTGACCCCACCCCATAGGGAACCATAGTCGGAAAAACATAAACATTAAATCATTTAATTCTTACAAATGTATCAAGAAATTGATTTATTTCACAAAGTATGAAATTTTGTTATATAGTTTTTTTTTAATTTATGAGTGACATCACTTATGATGATAAGTTCCAAAATTTGTGAACTCAAGTAAACTTGCAGAAAATTTGAAAAAATTTGAAAATAAAAAGTTTGTACAATAATATGTAAAATTATGAGTTATCAGTCATCATACCAACAATAAACCATTTAACAAACATCCCTTATTAGGTGAATAAAACTATGATAGAATTTTGATTTCCCTATGGAGTCACCTTTTATCATTATGGCAATATCAATTTTCTTTTTTTTTATGTTTTCACATACTTAGCGGAACTTTGAGCAGTCCAATACTACAAGAACTTAATTGAGTTGGGAGTTCATTTCAAACACGTAGTAATTCTGTTATATGGTCCACATCTGTTTGAAGTCTATGAGCTTTCTGTGATGAAAGAGAATTTTAGATCAAAAGTACAGGAAAACTAACTTATTATTACTTATCTCAAATGTTGATATGTTCTGATGTTAAAAAAATCAAAGTGATCAATCCAGTGGCACACCCATCCATGTTTGTAGTTCTCTGATATATACATTCCCTTAAGTAAACTTCAAATGGAATAAATTCTAAGTCTATAATTATATCAACATCTGCATCATTGGTCAAAGGGTAAGTAAGCTCTGTCAATTTTGATAGTCAAAGAGAGATAACTCTTACTTATATGATCAAAAAGGATCTTTATTTTTTGATAAAATAACAATAAATAACAAAAAAACAGTAAAAATTGAAGTGTTATGGGTTTGATTAGTTCAAGTTTTGCAATGTAATGTGTCATGTGTAAAATTTCATACATTACTGAAAACAATCAATTGTCTAATAATTCAGGAAGAGTGGTATCATATCAAATACTCATTAAACCCCAATAATCCAGTGGTAATATTCCCCTCAGTTAAGGCCCTTAAACTATCAATCATATCTCTTGAGGACACTGGCTGAGAGAGGGCGTAGAATCAATCCAAGTAATTGTTGATATTATTTGTATCTTCTTTACTTATATGATAATAAAGAATTTAAAATTATGAATTGATTAGAAGCTCAAGTTCAATTCGTAGACCCTAAACCATTCACCCATTAATTGTGGATGAGGTATGGCCCTATTAAACCTTTCATAAGCATACCCTGTCTATATGGCAGCCTTCCAATGTTTAAATAATTCTTGCATTGTGATTTCCAAACGAAACACAGTTTTTATCTCTTTAATTAACACATTACCCATTCATTTTATTTGAAACACTAAACTTTTTTTTAATATGTTATTATGGTGAATTTTGAATAACAAATCAGCCTTTTCCATTATCATTATACCCTGTACATTAGATAAAACCTGTCACATCAGGCTGCATATCAAAATCAAATGACAACCATTTTTTATTTAACAATCTTTGTAAATTCACTTTGAAATCTGATCAGGGATTGGAAAATTGGAAGGTTTATCGCAGATTTATATTCCATCAGTAAATTATGTATGAAATCCTGAAAAGTTTTTTTAGTCTGCGTTTGTCAGAATAGAGACAATGATTATTCACGAGGGAACTATTCAATATGTAACCAATCTCCTATCAATATTTAATTTTGTATCAAATTTCAATCGTAGTTTTTTTTAATATCTTTATATTGGAGTTATTCTGTTTCCTGTTGATTTTACATGGTATTGTGAACAAAAGTTAAATTGAATTAGATTATTGATGAAATTAAAATCCTTTTTTTTTTAAACAAAATTCACAATTGCAATGAAAAAATCATCATCTTTCAGTAGCAAAGATCATCAAAGACATCCATATCTAAATGAATAAAAATTTAAGGTAAACTTGGTATTCAGCCAATTTTTCAGACTAAAATTTTGACCAGTTGAGTACAACATGATGTCAATAACAGATTCTAACATATTTGAAAATAGATAAGTGGCAGTTGGTCACATGTCATTATACAATGTGGCTACAGTATACATGTATAGGCAGCATACAAATCTTGAGACTGTTACCAACCTTTCACTCTTTGAGTATATAATTTTTCCACACCTACTCTTTGGTACTCATTCTGGTACTGAAATCAAGTAAGAGCAACTAAAAGAAGTAAATTAAAAAGCTTACAATTGGCGCAATTTACCCCTCCGGAGCACCTGAGATCACCCCAGGGTTTTTGTTGGGATTCGTGTTGCTCAGTCTTTAGTTTTCTATGTAGTGTTTTGTGTACTACTGTTTGTCAGTCGGTCATTTTCTTTTTTAGCCATGGTGTTGTCAGTTCATTACGACTTTTGAGTTTGAATGTCCCTCTGGTATCTTTCGCCTCTCTTTTAGGATAGAAATAACTGTTTTCTTGTTGCGTATTGAAAACATAATGATGATATAACAGTTAATTTTCCCCCCAAATTGCACCATTTGTAAGGTTGATTTTAGTTCCTATAGCATAATGTATATAGCTCTTACTTGACGGAGTACCAGAATGTCCAATCAAATCAAAAGTTGGTAGTCTATTACATGAGACAATATAATCCTGTTGATACCTAACAGAGGAAAACTCACAGCTTATAATGGCCAAAAGTGGCACCATATCCAGTTGATACCTAACATAAGGAAAACTCACAGATTATAATGGCCACAAGTGGCACCATATCCTGTTGATACCTAACATTAGGAAAACTCACAGCTTATAATGGCCACATTTAGTGGCCATACAATTGTCAAAATAAGTTACAAAGTATGTACTGTGAGTTAGTACTCACTTAGTAAAAGATACCTCTGTTATCAGTAATCGGTAAACAGGAAGTTCTGATAAGTGATTGATGTGAACATGGTATAGGATGCTCACACATGCTTGATAAGCTGGAGGCTTGTTAATTGTAGTTCTTGATACAAATTCTGGAAAAGTTTCATGGGACAGATTGGAGCACACACTGATGGACAGAGGATAGTAAAGCAGTGTAACCCCTCCATTTTCTACCTCAGAGCAGGGGCATTATTACTACCAAATTAGAACATGCACTAGACTATATTAGGATCAAGGACATATTTTTATGGTATTCAAAAGTTCTTTACCAAGACTTTAAACATTTTAAAACTACATGAAATTGTTCTATTATTAAGTAATTCATAAATATTAGTCAAAAACCATTAAAATGGTACGACTACGTTACATGGTAATAAAATATTAGGCATACCCCATAAAGTAATACAAGAATCCCCTCAAGACCTCATTATATATCTATAATTCATATTTTCTACCTTGTATCAACTAATTGGAAATATCAAATAGACAAATATATACAGACTCTATGGAATAAATAATACAGATATATGTAATTCCACCTACTAATATACATCTGATAACAATATTTCAAAGTTAACTAGGTAATATAATTTATTTTCAATGAAGTTAATTTTCAGAAGAAAATAACAGGGAGTTAAATAGGGTTAATCATGAACATGAAATCATTCCATTGATCATGATAACAGTAGCAAATTAACATGCTAGCTAAATATACGATCATATGTATTATGCTTATATAAGCTTAGAGTTAAACTTTGATGAAACTTAAAATATGTAGTCTTAAAAAAAAATAATCATCATTTGAGCCCCAATACCATGATATAAGTAATCTTGTAGAGTGCTCATCACCAGACTACTAAAACCCATTCCTCCGTTTAACCTTGCACCTAATTCAAGCACAATTATAATATCAAAAAAGCATACATGATCTATATACCTTGTGTTTCCAATCCCTCCTTTTGCCAGACTTATAACTCCATCCAATACTCAAACTTGCCAAAAACCCTGCACAATGCTTTCACACACGAAATATATCTACGAAAAAAAAATCTCCACAAACACCAAACAAAACCTAGAAAACGTGATCGAGGCGTTGTACTGCATGAACATATGATAACTGTATGTTTATTTGAAGGTATAATTATCAAAACATATTACATATTTCATAAAGCATTCCACATTACATAAACAAATGATTGTGTTAATTGCCTGTCTATTGTTATCCAGATAGTCACATGACCACCCAAAAAAAAGCATACACTAAAATGAAGGATATACGTT